GGGAAGGACTCTGTTCGAGTGGCATTTACTTGTACTTCACGGACAATCAGATTAAGTGAGGATAATAAAGCATTAGAACGGTTGCTAAGGCATCCCAGCAGGCCAGTGTGCACAATGGAATTAAACGCAGTTTTACTGAACAAGATTCCATTGTTAAAATCTAGTCTAGTAGCTAACTATCCTAAGGATGGTTTTGGTCATTTTTGTTATTTGTGATTTGAAGGTCTGGGGTTTTGCTTTCTCTGCGAGATTATAATCACAAAGAGAAGTCTGCTGTTGTCTCTCATGTCTGCCATCCTGCTGATCAAGACAGCTGGCAAAGTAAAATGATGAGTTTTAGATGGGGGAGAGCAATGCATTACAACTAAATATATTTAAAGCAAATCTCCACATATTAGTTATTTCAATTTTATTTTAATTGAAGCAGAAGCAATTATTTATGTTTATGTAATTAGCTAACATAAAATGCATTATATTCACTTGAGCCAAATGAATTAAATGTGTTTTCAGGCAAAATTAAAATACGCTGAAAATATCGATAACCTCTTCAGAACATAAGTCCAAATTTCACTTTAAGGAACAATAACCGCAAAATTTTTTCTGACTTTTGAACTCTCTGACACTACCAGGAACCAGTGAGTGACATTTTAAGTACTCTCATAATTCAGAAAGAGACAAATGGATATGCTACGGAATTTGCATATATTTGGGAGGAGAGTGAGGGAGGAGGAAAGGGTTTCAGAGTAAGAAAAGTGATTTGGTCTATAAAGCCTTGGATGTAGACACTTTGGACCAAAAAATAATTTCCAGGAAATTGGGGTGAGTCGGCATATCTATCTTTTATGCTTTTGAGAACTCCTACCACTATTTACCAAAGAAGAAAACAGTAAGAATGTCAGAAGAAAAGATAATTTCAAAAATATGATTTTAACAGCTATTTAAACCTCTGAAAAACTTGAAAAATAAAGATCACTTGTGCTAGGGTTCACAACTTTGCAGCTTCCAACTGTGGTCAGTCCTCGTTTTGATTCTAGGGTCTAGTTTGATGACCTAGAATGGTTTTCTTCTTATTTAAATGGAGTCCAATTTATTTTAACTCAAGAGTCTGTGTTTGAAAACCTCATCCTGAACTTCTCAGAAAACCCGAAGGTCATGTTTACAGAATAGATGCACAGCAGGATTAAATAAATGTGGAACTGCTGCAGGCCCTTTTTATTCTATCAGAGATGCTGTTAATCTTCAGATGATTATTTTTGCCATATAAAATATATATCCTGGATTATGAAAACTAATTCCCCACCTGACACACTCATAAACGGTTTTGTAAGAGCTAATTTTAGAACACTCCTAGTTTTTTTCATTTCATCATCAGAGACATTTTACATTTTGAGAAATTCTCCAGTGCCTCTCAAGACCCTCTCCTCCACTACCCACACCGATAAACGTAGTGAGTTTTGCATACTGTGGAAAAGATGAGAGCCATGCTGTTTGTTACCTTTCCTTATTTTAACTTGTGGATGAGAAGGCGATGGTCATGAAAAATTGATAATGTAAGACGATAGGAGAAGGCCAAAAATAAAAACTGGTAACAGCAAATAGGACCCAAGGAATAAGTTGCACTATCGATCACAGTATCTAATACGTTGCAATGTAACTGATAGCTGTAATCACACGGTTCTTAGCCCTTATATTTCATAGAGTGGCCTTTCTGTATGCTACGTTATGTCACCAGGGATTCATCTTAACAGTGATAATTCTTATTTATGGAACTCTTTGTAGTTCATAAAGCATTTCCATATTATTGCTCTTTCATTTGCTTCTCACCAGAACCCAGTGAGATAGATGAATTAGGAATGACTGCCTACACGTTACAGATCAGTAAAAGAGATCACAGTCTATAGTCATTCACTCCCCTAAACAGTTTTGAGTCCAGAACTACTCAGGGCAATGTATTTTTCTCCCTACCAGACTTCTAGTCAACACACACACACACACACACACACGTGTGTGTGTGCACACGAACGTAATATTTAAAAGGAAAAACAAAGAAAATTTCCAGTGAAAATTTTCTCCCATGAAAACTATTATTTTTTCAGTATCATCTTCTTTCTTTGATACAGGTTAAAATATATAAGTGCTATTTAAGTTAACAAATATAACTGTTTTTTAAAAAACGATAGCTTTTTAAACCATAGAAATATTTCACTTTAAGAGGGGAAGAGGAATTAGAGGATTATATTGCTTCACAAAAAGACTCTGAATAGGATTGCTTGAAATAGCAAAATTCCCCAGAACATTTAAGATATGTTGATTTATGAAAATCTGATTCATACAGAACTTTACAGGAATACATCTGTTATATAAATCCATGTTCACCTGTAATTTACTCTAGGGGGAACAACTGAGTGATAATAATAATAACACACTCATATAGTTCTTCGTTATGTATTTTAAAGTGCTTTCCCCTAATTTATTGCATTTGTCTTTGGCAACCTTATAAGGGAGGCAGAGAGGGTATTATTATCCTTTCTTTACGGATGAGAAATTAGAGGTTAAGTGACTTGCCCAAGGTCAGACAGACTATTCATTCATTTACTGCTATTTGAGTGATGTAGTTTTAACGGGGTAGGTCAAGGAAGTAAGGTTCTTCCTCCTAATTTTTTTTAAGCAGCTGTGAAGGCTATTAAAATAGAGGTGGATGATCTCACAAATGTAATGTTGAACGAAAGAAGCCAGACACAAAAGTGTATATACTGTAAGATTCTATTAATATAAAATTCAAATGCAAGCAGAATTAATCTATGGTGGCAGAATCAGGATGGTGGTGACCTTTGGTAAGAGGCAGATGGTGACTGGAGGGTAGAGAGGGGTTTGCTAACATTGTACTTCTTGCTCTGGTTTGTGGTTGTATAGTTATGTTCACTGTGAAAATTCACTGAGATATATACTTGCGATTTGTTTATATGTATATATTTGATTTGTTTATATATATGTATATATATATACACATTATATATATGTATCCCAATACATATATATACATTATGTATATAATGGAAGTTTTCTTTTAAAAAAGTTTGGTATCTTTAAAAACAGTACAGCACTTTAGAAGATCATTACATTACACATATCCTTTGAACATTTGTGATTTCAATCAAGTTTCTTAGCTGCATTCTAAAAATGAGAATATGAACTAAATCTGAAGAGTTTAAAAAGAAGAAAAAATTTATTTAAAAAATGTCTGGGATCATCTTCGTCTGAAAAGTTGCTATATGAAATGGGAAACTGAAGCAAACTAAGATAATAACATAATTCATTTAGGGCCAGTGGAACATTTATATTTAATGACATTAAGCTAGGAACTGTAGGGAAATGACATTAAACTGTGATTCACATAGTATATTCTAGAATATATCTTAAGGAAGATAAGATTATAATTTTTAAAATATCCATTTTATTTTAGAATTTTGTGTATTAGGACGATGCATTGGGCATCAAGGTAGAAAGCCAGTGGCAATGATAAAAATCTGAGTAGAATGTGCAAACCTGGGGACAAACATGGGCTCCTGAGGATCCCAAGGAGCCTTCAATGTAACAATGTTTGGGAGGAATATGTTTTGAGCATCATCCAGGATAGAAATTACAGTTGCATTCAGTTGCTTAAAGCAGTTTCAAAATTTATATTACAGTTTTCTAAGAATCCTTCACTCCCGTGACCCTGTGACCCTGAGAACCAATGCTGTACTTGTACTCAAAGTTGCCACTTATGACATATGTTTTGTTTAATTTTTACACATTATCTTTTTTGTTGTGTTTCTTTCATTTTATTTTTTTCAAGAAGCCATGATAGTTCGTCCACCTTCAAGTCATCTGTATCCATTCACTATCTTGATATTATATGTTGGGAACAAAGAATTTCCGGGGGCAGGGGGGTGGGGTGGATCAGACTCCATTCCAGGGTGCTTTCATCTCACCAGCGATGTTTCAAAGCCACCTCCACCACAGCTAGGACTACAGCTCAGTGACGTTTCTCCCCAGGAGGGCTGTTGAAGGCATCCTGTTCAGGGAGAAGTCTTGAACCTTTAACCCATTTGCACATTTGTTTTAATTCCTGACCGACTGCTGTATTCTTGTGTGTTAGTTGCATTAGGACCTAGCTAACTTATTTTGCAAAATAAACGTTACACCCTAAACACCTGCGTCTGTGTGCCACAAATTGTGTAGAATACACACGATCAAGTCAATTGTGATCACTGCATCCAGGACGAATGTGAGACATAGCTGTCCTCTGGAATTTGGGTTATTAGAATGTCAACCTGTGTTCCCCAATGTTGCTCATGTCATAAAATAGGTCAGAAAGGTGACTCCAGAGATAGCAGGGAAGAGACAGGGAGAGGTAGGTTGAAGGAATTCTACTCTTCAAGGCTCAGCAAGCTGCTCCAATTACTCTTTCCCTGGCAAAGGCTAAACAAATCATGAAGAACGGGACCTGCATGTCTCCGGGTAAGTCCATGTGGAATCATTTCATAATCTTTTTTAATGACAGGGATCAAGAAGGCACAACTGTTTCTCTCTCTGGGTGGAGCCCTTCAACAACAAAAACTCCTTGAATCCCTGTGGAAGTTTCACTATACAAATTCATGATTAGCAACACCTGAACCCTTTGAAAATTCATTCCTATTTAAGCTAATAGGCATATCCCTGAACTTAATCTTCCTTTATAGCGGCTGAACAAAGCATATTCTGTCCTTTGACCTTCCTTGCTGTCGTTCCTCCCACCTGGAATCTCCTACTTTTTCCTCTCGGTCAGTTCTGTGGATGTGCTGCTTTGTGATCTTCATAAAAGACAGGCCACATTCTTTTTCCATTTTTACTAATTTTCACTCTTTTCCTTATAAGTCATATGATGATAACATTTGTTACATATAATCTTGACCACACTTTTGAATAATTTGGACTTCCATTATTTTTAGTATAGAAAAATAAATTAAGATACTTGCCATCAAGCCTTGTTCTCCTGGTTTCCCTGATTCACCCTTAAAAAAGAACAGTGATAATATTTATTAATGCTATAAACATTAAAAAGCCATTTTAATCGTTTTTTTTTTCTTTTTCACAATACCCACAGGGACGCATGAATGTCAAATATACTTTGCAGGCTACATAGAGGAATGCAAACACAATGCAATGAAAAGAAAGCCAGTGTTCTTCCTTCAAATTCATTTTATAAACATTTTAGGATTTAATAAAGTGAGTCTAGATTACAGCAGAGATTTAAGAATTATGCCAAGAACGTATTCTAAATAAAACTAGTAGGAATGGTTATACTGTAAGTCAATAAAGGGTCCTAGAAAAATATTTAATTGTAATTCCAGTAACATTTATTATGTTCTGTTCATGATGACATAAAGATGATGATCTGGCCTCTTTATGAGAACTCAGAACTTCCATATATAGGATAGAGAGATAATTGCTCTTAGTACATTAAATAATAAAATGTGCAGAGATTGATTTTGAATTTGTTTTCCTGGATTAATGATGGCTGAAGTGATATGTTTTATTAAAATTAATAGCATATGTTAAAATACATAGAATTTGTGCTATATCATACCACTATCATAGTTTTCTAATACTCAGATTCCTACCAAATTCCTTATTATGTTTTATTGTCATATTATTATATTGATAGTCATTGGCAACAGATATTTTTTGGAAAAACCAGTCTTGTCATATCCAATATATATAAAAGTTGTTGGACTTTAAAAATGAGTACTTTCAGTTTGTTTTCGTAAAACCTTTTTTTTTAAATTTTCTTTTTTTGAACGTTTATTTATTTTTGGGACAGAGAGAGACAGAGCATGAACGGGGGAGGGGCAGAGAGAGAGGGAGACACAGAATCGGAAACAGGCTCCAGGCTCTGAGCCATCAACACAGAGCCTGACGCGGGGCTCGAACTCCCGGACCGCGAGGTCGTGACCTGGCTGAAGTCGGACGCTTAACCGACTGCGCCACCCAGGCGCCCGCGTAAAACCTTTTTCTAGTGGTTATCATCGTATATAAAAATTAACTCTGAGACTATACATCCAGTTCAATTCACCTTTGTGGAATTAAAAACCTTGCTCATACCTTTGTGTAAAAAGCTCTTATTTCTTACTCAGATGAATGAATTATGTTCATTTAAAGGATGACATAGTTTTTCAATTATTTACAGTTTGTCATACCTTACCTTTATCTTATTTCTTAAAAGTAATCTATACCTTGAGGAATATACAAGATCCAATGATCTAATTTTGTACCATCAAAATGATTTCAACTACTCTTCTTAGTGGAAGAAACACTCAAGGTATCTTTGTCAGCAACCAGCAATTCTTTGGGGAGCTTTAACTATCCCTAGAGGTGTGCTTTCTCTATCTTTTGGGATATCATTCCAAAAAAGGGTGAGAACTGTGAAGACAATTTCAGGATGGAATCACTACCTTTGATGGTTCGGTGAAAGCCGTCCTAAAGACCAGGAAATAATAGGTTGGGAGTCAATCCTACATTTCATATGACAAATTTACAGCCATGTTCAGAGAGGGAAACAGGGCTTTCAAGAAAGCTGTCTCAGAAAAGTCATAAAGTACTCTATATTCTTACAAAGAGAACCACTTATTAAAAAAATACATAAACATATGAATATAAAAATAAAATACACCAAAACATTAATTGCCATGGCTGATTTTTTTTCTTTTTGGTTGTCTTCAGTTTTAAAAACTTTCTACGTTGTGGATAAATGTTTTCATGATTTGTACTATGAAAACACTCAGGAAAATAATTTAAGTCAAAGCAATAGATAAATAGATTAATTAGTTCAGCAATAAATTTGAAATTCAAGTCCTGAAGCCATAATATAAATGTAAAAATGTTTAACCTTGCCATATATTTCTTTAAACTATTGGGTTATCTCTACTGAATCAAACCATTTATGTAGTGTCCTATACTACTGTATTATTGACACTTAATCAATCTTAGTAACTAAGTACTTAGGTCTAAGTATTGAGATTGTTTTTAAATCATTTCTATTAATAAGGACAAATGATATGCAAACCATGCCTATTGATGTTTTAACCATTAATATTACTGTTTTATTAACATTTTTTCTTTTCTTTCTTCCTTTTTTTTTTTTTGGTCAGTGATTTACAAGGCAGTAAACATTAAAAAGATTTACCTCCTTTGCCTTCCATAAATCATATGGGACTTTATTTTCTCTATCACTGATCCTTTGGAGAATTCCCGATCTCTCACCTATATTTTCAAGCTATTCTCCCACGTAAGCCAAAGACATTCATGTGTTCTAAGGTAGTCAGGACACAAGTGAGATCAGGAATCATGGACTTGTTGAGGCTTACCCGAAAGCCAGTTTAGTTTCCATCTCCAGGTCTCTCTGTGGTTCATGTGGGTTCCCCGTGGATTGAGTGGTAAAGAAGAATCCTGCTGGCAGCACCCTCTCTGCTTGGGGACTTTCCTATCACCCCACTTCCTGCAACCCCCTACTCCCATGGCCCCTCCTTTTCCCATTCCATCCCAGTGCTGACCCTTAAAACGAATGGATCCAAAATGCAACTCACAGGCACTCCTGGCATTCCACGAGGGCCATCTTTCCCTGTGTCCCCAGGAGGCCCTCTTGGGCCGGGAGGGCCTGGAGGTCCTGGAGGCCCAGCCTGCCCTTGGTCACCCTACAATGGAGAAGCAAACAGACCAACAGTGACCATGAAAGATAAAGATCCAGGTCTTCTTTTCAACACTTTAAATTTGTATTATCTAATCCACATTTACACTATGAAAAGAACCAGAACAATCAGAAACATGAAGCCCATAGGCAATTTGCCTGCCAGCAGGGAGCAAATAAATATTCATGCTGGGTGAGCTGAGTAGATGCTATTAAAATCAAAGCAGCTCAGGAACCAGCACTCACAGCTCTTGGAAATAGTGTGTATGTTATCATGATATTCAGAGCTGTTAGAAAAGTTCTGCATAACTTAATTCGTGACAATGCTGCATCAGTTATATTCACCTTGTTTAATAAAATGACTGCATTTGTAGCTGGACAAATGTGTTTGCTCTTTCATAACCTACAAAATTAAACATACAGGCTCTTGTCAAACTGTATAATAATTTACAAATTACCAAAGCCAGAGAGCTTGGAAACTGGATCTATTACTGGATATAACTTAAGCTTTTTTTTTTTTTTTAATTAAGAAAAAATTAGGCATTCTATACATTTTTACTTTGGTACTTTCATATACATTTCAAACAAATGCAGCTCATGAGACATAATTTTGTTCTAGGATATTTCCAAATAAATACCCCCACCCCACCCCCACCCATGAGAGATGAATGGTAAAGCAACAGTAAATGGAGTAATCACTGAATGTAAAGAAGAAATCAGACTTGAGCAAGAATAAGCACTACCTTAATGAGGCGGCGTTTAATGAGCTGCTGATCAGCAGAGAGAAACCCATGATTGATTTTAGGAAACACCATCTGATCAGTCAGGTGAGGTCAAAGGTTGAAGTTCAGAGGTGAGAGAGTTGGAGAATAGACATCAGAAGGCCCCAAGAAAGAAATAAAGATATTCACATTAGGCTTATAATGACCATTAAACAAAACAGAACTGGTGCTTGTGTCTGACATCAGACTATCTGGCTCTTCTTGAAGGAAATATAACCCTAAGATAGGATGGCAAGAACAGATTTTTAGTGAGGGAGGAATCTTTTGGATCCCATCATTCCACTGTGGCTGTTAGGCCTCTTTCATGTAGTATGTTAAAGAAGCAGGAAAGCTCCCATCACCCACATCCTGCCCTCTGAGCAGAGAGTCTAGAGACCAAGCACCAGTTCAAATTCCGTCAGACTTGTCAACCAGCATAACGTGGCAGGAACGTGACTGCCATTTTATAAATGCCCTAAGTCCATAATACTTAGGATCATTTAACTGATCATTTAACCAAAAAACATCACAGAGTGTTGGCATGCGTGCAAATTAAACCATCAAGGTGTGGCTCGGTCCTAGATAGCCACGTCTGCCTCTCTTCATTACCCTTGCTCAACTTCAATATCCTTCTCTCTTTCTGTTCAAGATTCTCCTCAATAGATATTTGACCTCGTTGATGTAGGCGAGGTCCCAAGGATCCAATAACTCAATGCATATGGTGAAAAGAGCAAGTGGACTTGGCAAGCCAATTTAGCTGTTCTCGCTCACTCTTATGCTGATTGCGGGCTCTGACTGAGCAGCATGGGTGCCAACCACAAACCTTGACGGTGAGGATCTGATTACTGTGCAGAGCAGCAACTGTGGGGAAGCCTGGCAGACCCTATGGACGTGGGACAGCACCAAAACAACACGACACAAAACGTCACACAGACATTCTACTGATGGACAAACAAAACAAGCGTGTATCTAATGCCACCCTGTCCCAGCTCTAAGTCTTGTCTTGTTTGACACACTGTAAAGGAAATCAGACACACAAGGCCCCCAGGTAACACATTCCTTAAATGGAAAGGCCAGATTGAGAACTCATTGTAACTTCTCTTGTGGCAGTTACACTGGGATCCGTGTATATACTCTTAGCACTTCTAGAATCTTACATACAAAATGTTAGCACAATATAGAGATAACTGCAGACACTGTTATGAAAGCAACACCGTAATTTCCCTCCATGGATATTCTGTTTACAACTCATTCTGTTTACAACTCAGGACATACATGTATTAATTCTATTAATTTTTTTTTTTTTGACAATACTGAACAGAATTTTGCAGTCTGATCAGAAGTATTTCTCAGAATAAATGCAGTTTGCCTCACAAAAGATAGTCTTACCACCCACATATCAAAATTTCTCCCTCCAATCATATGATGATTCTCAGATCTTTCCTGTTTCAGGAATTCCTGCAGAGATGGTGGGTAGAAATCTGTCTCCTACAACATGTGTATTTCATGTCAGAGGGATTTATGGTCACACTCTGCAGTAATCACTTCTGTCATATAACTTTTCCAAAAGAACTTGACAGTTCACACAACCCCTTGAAGCAGAAAAGTGGTTTTGAATTCCTTAACCAAGGAGAACAGGGGAGAGATATTTTAGAGACTTGTACTTCACTAACTTGTACTAACCTGTCTTCATAGGTGCTATCAATTGGATAGGTCTGAGAGAGAACTTTGGCCTGTGTTCTGTATCTTTTCCGACATGAGATATTGCAGCCTTTTATTCCATTTTTTTCTCCACACAGAACATGTTTACCGTACAAATAAAATAAACAGCAACCACAGCTTACATGGACTCAAGTGTCTGCAGGCTTCCCAGACACTCCGTCTTGCTCACTGCCCTTCCCCTCTTCTGCCCAAATCTATTATGAGGATATCCTTAGTAAAGGCCCATACATTTCTAGTTTTTGAAATTTTGTGAGTCTTGGCATAGTCCTCTGCCTTATTTCCGCCTTATTTGGGATATAATTTTCTTTTTTTTTTTTTTCAACGTTTATTTATTTTGGGGACAGAGAGAGACAGAGCATGAACGGGGGAGGGGCAGAAAGAGAGGGAGACACAGAATCGGAAACAGGCTCCAGGCTCTGAGCCATCAGCCCAGAGCCTGACGCGGGGCTCAAACCCACGGACCGCGAGATCGTGACCTGGCTGATGTCGGACGCTTAACCGACTGCGCCACCCAGGCGCCCCTACTTTTCTTTTTTTAAAAGAACCAATAAAATTATGTTTGCAGCATGAAGACATCTCTTCAGCCCTAATGACTTTGACTTTCATTCTTTGGAGCTGGGACTTCTCAGGAAGCAAAAGCAGAGGACATCTTATCTGTTTTAGCAAATCCTTTCTGATAAGGCTATTAAGTGTCTGGGTAATTTTGAGGTGACCTGTATCCTCTTTTTTCTTCTCCCTAAGTAAAAGCCCTTGAAACATAGATGCTACCCAAATTCAGAAATGCTACAAGTTGGAAAACAGATGTGTACAATTTGCTTTTGTTTTACTATGGAATATGAGTTTAAAATGTTATTAGATGGTAATGTGCCAGCATCTTTCCATCTGTGACTCATTAGCCCTATATTACACAGTCAGAATTTTATATATAAACTTCGTCTTTATGTAACAAAGAACAAAAACAGATACAAACAAGAAGTGTATGAGGGATCAGAATCTTGACTAGTGGCGATAAATCATAATGTCACTTTGAACAGGATTATCTAACAAAAATAACTTAAAATTAAAAGCCTTTAACAGCACACATGGTAGGACTTACAAAAGTTTTGAAATCTGAATGTATAAATAAGTCACTTCTTGTACTCATATCTGAGCATGACCAGCTTGCTGTTTGATCATATTTTCTAAATGCTCACAAAAAGCATTAGCTTCATAACTTCTTAGTTTGGTTTCCAGTGTTAGCGAGATCTAAAGAGGGAAGTGGATAGGTAATTCTCATCTCAGATAGATCCTTTTCACTAAACAGAAAAACCTCTATTTGAGGAAGCTGATTTTATATTCCTCAATCATCTTAACTGTAGAAAATGCTACCGATTAGGTGCTTAGAGCTACATTGTAAAGATTTTATTAATGAGCTAGGCAACAGGATTTCAGAAGTTTATACGTAACAAAGTAGAAAGGGACATGTGGAAGAATTCTCTTAAATTCTAACAAAAATCCCATGGCTTAGGCTGCAATTTCCTAGGACCTGGTGCTCTTCAAAACTGTGGTAATGCTTGAAGGGTACATGCCAGGGTGGGGTGGGGTGGAGGCAGTGGATAGGGGTTATGTAAAGGCAATAATAAATATGGCACATCTTCCTTAAGAGTCAAGTTTGACAAATGTTAAATAATTTTAAATATTTTTATGTAAAGCAATGTCATATTATGAGGTAGAGTGCAAAATTTGCACAAATTTTTAAAACTTTTACCATTTGATCATGGTAGAGAACCTCATCTCACAGGGGATACCTCTACATTACAGGTAATACTGAACTAACCCTCTTCTTCCCACAGGAGGTCTTTGGTGGATAAGTTTGGAAAGTACTGGTGGTGAATACTTATCTGTAAGTCATGGCTTTACGTGGCCATAAGAGTTAGTCCTCCCTGGCCATTCACACAGAGTGCACTTTTCCATTAACTACGCCATTTTTTTCCATGATATCATTAGTCATAGTCCTTTCTAAATAAATGGAATGGACATATTTCACTTGGTTTTACATCTTGGAAAACTTGCCTGGTACACAGATGGTTCAAGTGGGTGTGGGAAAAAACTGTCTCTCCAGAAAAACATGGAGAAAGAGTCCGGGAATAAGCTAAAATGTTAAAATAATGTGTACAATTTTCACTCCCAAATATTTTGAATTTTTAAGAAATTGGATGTATAAGAGTGTAAAATATTCAACCCATTTTCCTCTTGAGAGCATACTCAAGCAACTAAACAATTGCTTAATTAAACACTAAATCCTGTGACATCCTGTGAAGTAGGTTACTATCTTGGACCAGTGTTTTGACACCATGTTAGGAGAAAGTCTATATCCCTTCATTACCTTCTAGAAGCAAAGAGGCAAGCCTACCCCAAAGAAATGTTGAACAAATACATATTACATAAGAGATGCTTCTAACTACTTACAGAGCCATAATTCAAGATGCTATTGTGTATTGTATACGCAGTAATGGTGTTATATGATTACATTATAGTGAGAAAACTTTGTGTTTGGTCAAAAGTATTCAATAAGGCAACTATAGAGCCAAGAATTTAATCCAGGACTTTTAATTCCAGACTTTCTCATCATGCAATTTACATGTCTTTAATTTCTTTCTACTTTTATAGTTGGAATATTAGAAGTTGACTAACACCACCAATATTTAAGAAGTATTTATTGACTATCTTCCATGCAGCATTCACTGCCTAGGCATGGGAATCGAATGGTGAGCATGACCCCAGGCTTACAGGGGTCAACATCTAGTGGGGAAACAGGAAAAAATCAGCAAGCAGTAATCATATGGAGGGATGACCATTTTGGTGGGGAAGGAGAGGGGCCACAGAGTAAATAAAAGTGTGCCTGATGGTAGGTTTGAGGACCTCTGGGAAACTTCCCAAGCCACACGAATGAGGGGAAGAGGGTTGGTAGAGCAAGAGAACTAAAGACAGAGATATCATTTAGGAAAATGTTATAATAGTCTAGTTGAGAGATGATACCCTAGGACTAGAGAAGGGACAAATCCATAGTTTCAAGTGATATTAAGGAGGTGGAATACGCAGCACTTGCAGCTTGGCTGAGAACATAAGGGAGAAGGAGGAGCAGTGAGTGGTCCTACATGTCTAGCCTGAACGCTGGAGGATGATAGAGGAATCACTAGTAATGAATAGGTTTTCTGGGGCAGGTAGGTGTTCATGGATGGTGAATTCAGTTAGGGACTTGTTGAATTTGAGGCATCTAAGAACAGCCAAGGCATGGCAGCTAGATATGCATTTAAAATCGTCAGGAGAGAAGTGAGAATGACAAGTCATAGGGCTGCCTGAAGTCATGTAGAGAGGTTGGAGAGAGAACAGACCTAGAAAACAGCTCTTGGAAAGACTTCGATTTTAGGGATGAGCAGAGGAAGAGGCAACCACAAAGAGAAATAATAAAATGTGGTTGTAAAAGTAGGAGAAACACTAACTCACCTCACAAATTTCTACACAGGCAAATGACTCAGAATGACTCATTAATGAAAACTGCATCATTCGTTGTGTTGTATAAATGCACATGAACTGAATTCCTCCACTCACTGTTGCACGTAGAGGTAATCTAGAAACTAACAATGGGCAATGCCACTGACAGTGGATGCTCACTGATATGCACAGGGGAGTATAACTGAGATTGTAGAGGTACAGAGGAAAAATTAAACTATTATTTTAATTATAAAGGTGGACCCCCAATAGCAAATCATATTGGAAGAAAAAATATGTGTTATGCTAAGAAATGAAAATCCCTGAGTTTCTCCATAATGTAAATAGTATCATGATTCTGTTAGCCCCCAATATATCATGCATAACAACACAACCATTACAGTAGGTATGTGTGCAGCATAAATAAAGATGAATATTCCGAGACATTGATAAAATGATTTCTAGCTAAGAAAGACCAGATGGGAAAACATTGTATAGGATGCAGAAATATTTAGGTAAAAGAATAACTTGAGTTTAACAGCAGGAACTGTTAGAAAACAAAATAGGCAAAGAAAAGAAATTAAGAGAAAGGAATTTGCTGCTAAATCATTTCATTCTGCAGTAGATGGTAAAATCTGTCTTAATAGAAAAATTAAGTACATGAAGCTAAATAGCAATGGAATCCTTTGA